CTCTCTCTTTCTCTCTCGCAGTCTCACTCTGTTTCTTTTCTTTTGACTTTTCTAAGATGACAGATGCTGAATATATACTCCCTATCTGATGCTGTGGCTGTTTGTGGTTGGCTGAGAGGGATGTGAACTCATTAGTTTGCAGCTGTGTTAATCAAATCAGGTTGGGTTTCCATTACGCATGCCAAACGGTGCCAGTCCCCTTTGATCTGACATCGGATGTGAGGGGACAGTCGATATAGAGATACATTCATGTGCTGATTGCAGATAGTTGCATTGAATAGTGGTATTTTGGGTATTTATTGCATTATTAATGTGCCTGATATTCTGGAAACCTGCCTGTGAGGTTTTGGTGACGTGTGCACACTGTCCGCCGGTCAGCCAAACTTCGGCTTACACCGGCTGCGCTCTGCTTTCGAAAGCCTTTGGCACGAAACTGTCACTGCGCCAAGCTGGATCTGTCGACACCCTGCGCCGCGCCGGGAAACAAGAGCCCTTGGTCTTGTCTTATCTCGATACATTTTTTGCACATCTACATGTCACTGAGCATGATGTATTTGGTGTTTGTGGAAATCTTATCTTACTATATAATGACGAAAACTCTGTCTGTGTGTGTGTCTGTTCCACGTTTTTCTCCTCACTGACTTGGTCAATCCATGTGAAATTTGGCACAGTGGTAGAGGGTCATGGGAGGATGCGAATGAAGTAATATTACATCAATTGGCCAAAGGGGGGCGCTATAGCAACCGACTGAAATTGCAAACCTTGAATGGGCATATCTCATGCCCCGTATGTCATAGAGACATGAAACTTTGCACAGAGATGCCTCTCCTCATGAGGAACAAATTTGCCTCAAGAACCCATAACTTCTTTTTATATAGATTTTCTGCCATTTTGAATTTTTTGAAAAACACTTCAAACCGATCTCTTCCTAGGAAGTTTGACCGATCTGCATGAAACTGGGTGAACATAATCTAGGGACAAATATCTAAAGTCCCCTCTTGGCAAAAGTTGGAAAACTTACTAAAACTGAGCTTCTATAAGGCAATGAATATTGGGAGGGCGTGGCTCATCACATAAAGGTGTATAACATCTCAAGGGTTTCACCGATCACCACGCAACTTTGTAGGCATATGACCACACATAATCTGAGGGGACCCCTCCATTATTGACCCCATCAAACAAAATGGGGGCGCTAGAGAGCTAATCTCTTATCTAGGCCTAACCGCCATATCGATTTTTACTAAACTTGGTAGATATGTAGAACAGGATTCCTCAAGGTAACTGGAGAAATTTAACTCTAATTGGCAACTGGGTGGCGCTATAACAACAGGAAATTGCTTAAAAAATGGCTAAAATGCGACCGATCGCTGTGGCTCCCCCTGTGGACCAATGTTTGTTTTTTTTCTAATTTTTGGGATGACTAAGTCATGGTATGGTATGCTGCACATAATCACGGAAACTGTCAGTGTGTCATTCTGTCAGTCAGTCATTCTGTCTGTCCCACGGTTTTCAAAAACTCTGTCTGAATACATTGCTCTTCTTAATGGGTTCAGCTGACTATTTAATCTGCAATTTCCTATGACTTGTATCCCAAACACACACCATGTGAAACTACGTGGGCAACTGTGCACTCAATGGGTATGGACTAGTTGTCTTATAAGCATTGACTGTGGGTTTAAACGGTGTTTCTCTCTTTTGAAGGGGGGTTACATTCTATCATTTAGCAAACTACCCAATTATCTAACTATGGCACTCTTGTCTAATTTTGCCCATAAATTATTAAGAAAGGTTATATCATTTTAGCTCACCAATATGACAGATTTCCCGTGTTATAAATTTGTTTAATACCAGTTGAAAATTGCTGAATTACAAAATAACTGTATAACAAGAAATTACTTTACAACAGCAAACAAGATTTGAAAATGATGAGAAAAAGATTCAATGGCAAAAAATGGTCCAATATCAGTTAGTTATTATCTGAAACAAGATGGCCTCAACTGGATTTCCATGACATATTGTATGGATTTTAAATGATTTTTTTCCCCTGCAAAACTATTTTTTTTACAGGAACTTACTGTAAAGTAGATATACACAAGATTTTATTCATAATCATGAAATAAATGTTAACTTCACAGTATAATGTCTATAGTATAATGACACCAACTGCACTTCCCTGTAAGCCTCCCTTTTTCTATGTAATTCCAACTGCCAGCAGATACAATCTCCCAGAAAAATAAAGGCTCGAATTTACAGCACAAACAAAGAGCGCCAACTATTGTGCAAAACAGAAAGAGGACAATAGCCGAAAAGGTGGTCGGTTAAACAAATGAAGTAACTGTGAGAAACAAAATGCAGTGTGTCCTGTGTTGCTGGTTTTTGCTAGGCTCTGAGGAAATGGAAAGTGATCTGGTTTTCTTTGTGACAGTAACGCCAACAATAATACCATTTGGAAATGCTCAGTGGTTACAACTTGAAAGGCTGTCTGATTCCACTTTAAATTGGACGAATGTATTTAATTTTCACCCAAATGCCCGTCACGATAGCTACTTTTGGTGGAGGATAAATTGTCCTAGAAATGATTCTGTTAAATGACTTAATGTAATTTTAACATCATTTTATGCCACTGATATTGTTATAATATAATAGCATCATAATGCAAGTGCACCCTGTCAAAGAGCAATGAAGTTTTTATTCTTAAGAATGTTCAGACATTCGAAGTGGAATGTGAAAAAGAAAAAAAGTTTATGTGCATGTGCGTGTGTGTGTGTGTGTGTGTGGATGAGCTGAGCCCTGCCAACGGTGAAACTCCAACACAGAGAGCAGACAAGAGGACAAAAGCAACGTGATTAGAAATGACAGTAAAATGTGTCTCAGCATAGTTTTTTTTCTGTTCATTTGGCTGAGGCGCCGCTCAAGTCCTACAGTGGTCGAGAAAACCCAGCTGTTTATTCTGTCATCATGCTGGCTAAAATGCAAGTGACATTTTTATGTAAGAAAATATGCATATAAACATGAGGGCTTTATCAAATGATATATGGACATGACCAGTCATTTCTGCTGACCTCGATCAGTCAATAACTTAAGTATCTTGACAGGCCTAGGTCCTAGTTGCTGATATGGTTGGGTACCATTCACATTTGAACTGATGATACTGGTTCCAGTGTCAGAATATGGTGCCTATTTTCTGTGTTGTACTTCTTTTTCAATAAAATAAGTTTAATTTTTAAACATCAACCAGAGGGATGTTGTGGAGTAAAACGCAATTCTGCTTCTCTTCTTTTTCAAATCACATGTGGGGTTAATCTTCTGTCTCTGTCTACTCCATGGCCACGCTCTTGGCTTCAAGGCGGTTCCGCCTCCTGTCTAAAGTTTAATCCGGCGTCTTTGCGGAGCCCCGTTGCCGGCCACAGAACTCTTTGGCTGGCTTCTAGGCTTCAGAGTGCTTCGGGGTGCTTTGGCCTGATGTGCCGTCAGATACCCAAATTTGGCACCCATGGATTTACTGTGAATCAGTGCTTGGTAGTACAGACATGAATTAGTCAGTACCCTTAAAGATACCCAACCCTAGTCACTAAATAAATGAATCCCCAATTAAAAGCTACACATATTGACTCCGAGTTCTAAATGGTGAATGTTGTTGCCAATCTTTAGTGCATGCATTACAGGCAGTGCGTCATATATAGGTTTGTTCACTGGTAAATAAAAGGTAAAAGAAAAAATCCACGTACACTAACTCAAAATAAATGCAAAAACACACACAGTAGGAGCAGCTGCTGTCTGGAGAGCTGCAGCTCATTACCATGGTACCTGAGGCTTAAAGCAGAACGAGGGGTTTCCCTGTGAGAGAGTGAGGGCGAGCTGTGGCTCCGAAAACATCCAACCAGGCATATAATACAGCTCCACTTTAACATGATCAAGGTCTCACCAAGAGTGTTATTCCCCTCCCTCCTTATTTTGTTCATTGAACGCTACAATGGTGCACCACGAATCCAATTAAGTCTAAGAGGAAAATGCACATTCCCAGATGGAAAACAGGTCTTCTGCACAAACGGTGTTAACGACTAACTAGCTCATGACAGATGGATAAAAAGCCAAGTCGAGATCAGGAAAACAAACTCTTGAGAGACGGGACAAGCAGATGGAATCTTCTTCCCACACAAAGTAAAGAGCTGTGAGGAAACTGAGACAACAGAAGGTGAATGGACTTGAGATGAAAACTCTCAAGTTTGACGATACATGAGGAGCATCACTCTATGGAAACACCAGGCAGCACACAAAAGAGTTACACACACAGGGAGGCGTGCAGGCTTGTGAGTCTTAGTCAACACATCTGTGCAGAGCTGTGAGGAAAAGTGCACACTGAACAGATCCATTCAAAGTTGGAATTTAATTCTTCTGCTCCTGACAAAGACAGCAAAGCTAGTTTTGATGAGCATATGGTCTCTACGGAAGTCAGGTCACTGCCAAAACTGCTTTAACTGATGATGAGATAAAGGGATGATGCATGAACCTGCCAGATGTAGCCAAAACTGGAGCTGCACTTTCTCCACTGCAACCTTCCCTCCTCCCTCTGCTCTCTCTCTCTCTCTCTCTCTCTCTCTCTCTCTCTCTCTCTCTCCCATGCTCCCTCCCCCTCTTGCTTAATCTCTCTACCTCTCTCCCTCTGTCTGTCTCCCTCTCTCTCTCTCTCTCTCTCTACACACACACACTCAGATGCACACACGCAGAAAAGAGGAGAAAGCCAGAGAGGAGAACTGCGGCGGCACGATGGGGATATTCTGCCTGCGTGGGCTCTGTCGCTGAGGCGTCCGGAGTTCAGCCACTGTGTGCGCGTGTGTGTGTGTGTGTGTGGCTGTGTGAGTGTGTGTGTATGCGTGTGTGAGTGAGTGTGAGCCCCTGCCGACGCCGTGCGGAGAAAGGAGAAGGGGAACAGAGGAGAGCTGGTGGAGAGGAGGAAAAAGAGAGGGGGAGTGTTGACTCTCACTGGGGCTTAGAGGAACCTCACGCCACTGGATCAGAGGACGCCGATGTGCAACAACTACTCCAACTACTGCCGCTGCTGCTCTGCCTGCGTGCCGCTGCCTGCCTGTCCTCTCAACTTCTGCCATGGCATAGCCACCTCTTCCAGCTCGCCTCTAATCCACTAAGGAAACGGGCATGCACGGGCACAACCAGGGATCTAGGCTAACGCATCCTTTACGTCAGTAATTCACAGTCTGAGGTGAGTCTGCTCCTCTCTGCTCTTGTCCTCTCCTCTATTTCACCTCTCAGTCTGCAACTGCAAGGGGGGAAAGTCTGTTCAAATAACCTCTGGAGGTGGGGAATCCGAGGGCTCTGTGAGACTGAGCCCGGGATAATCCACAGGGAATGTTTCCACTGGAGATTTTCCCTTTTAGTCGGCTGATCAAATATCAAATACGTGTGGCAGATGAAAGGAGGTAAATCTCAGATTGATTTTAGTTCGGTTGAGTTGCGTCTGCTGTGGTGAAGGGAGATTTCATGCAGCAGCTGTGGAATGTGCTGGTGCTGAGTTTAAGACATGATTCAGTCAGTTTAGAAAACTTTAAACGTGACAAATGTTCATCTCAGGTGAATATGAGGAGGGGGGAGTGTGCTCACTGCCACTGCTACCTGACATTTATCAGATGTGGCAGGTCAGGTTTTTTGTTTCTGAGAGGACTGTGATCCAGATTTAACCTGACTGGCTCTGCATACATAGCTAAAACACTTCGTGCGTACAGGGGCTCGCATGATGCTGCATTTCCTCAGTTTTGCAGCTGACTGAGCATTACATAAAAGACACTGGTATCCAAACCAAAAGGAAAAAAATTGCAGAATTGTTGCATGAGGCTGCTGTCCCACGTACGGAGGCAGCAGCACAGAGGAATAGGTAATGAGGGCTGAGCATCAGACAGTTGGCTGCATCTGATGAAGGTCCTTAACTAAAGACTAATCTAGATTAATGGACTGGGTGAAGTCACCATCTCCTTACAGATTATTGGAGCATGGGTGTGTGTGTGTGTGTGTGTGTGTGTGTGTGTGTATGTGTGTGTGATGAGGGGAGAGGGAGAGAGAACATGGGTTGCCAAGAACCCTCACATCTCCACTGTCCTTCAGTTGCCACACAAAACGCATGTCACTCCCACTCATCTCCACAAACCTCCTGCCATCGCTCTCTGTCTCCCCTTCAACCCTATCTCACATCAGCACTCTGATACAATCTCCCCTCTGCTCTATTTCACTTTGCGCAGACAGTGAGAAGAGGACTGAGGGAAGCAGATGAAGACAGATAGAGAGAAAGAGATATAGAGCAAGGGGAGAAGACAATGTCTGTGAGAAATAATAGAGTGGCAGGAGAGGATATTGAATTTTCACTCTTTTTTTAATACAATTGTAGGGCATTATGTGCTGACACTCAAGACTGACGTGAAAAGTACATACCTGCTGTCACAGCCTCATTTATGTAACGCAAATACAACTATACAAAATGACAGGATAGGATGAAAGTAGGATGTCGCTCCAGAAATGAAAAAAAAAGAAATGACATGTTCCCCTTCATCCGTCACTGCCTGTCTTCCTATAACCTTCGTGCCGCCTCTGTGAGAGCTGGGCACGGCCGTCCAGGAGTGATGGGCGTGAGGGCCCATCGCTTCAAAGCCAATCTTTATTTTTAGGAATCAGTCACATCAGTCTGCACCTCACCCGGTAATGCTCTGGAGAGAAGACTGACTGTTCTGCCACGTATGCATGCACAAAAAAGGAGCGTGTGCATGCCACCCCTGTACACAATCCAAATTCAGAGCTACACGAAGATTAAAAAAGGTAGAACAAAGCTATGACAAAGCTTCTACACAAGGAGAGGTCGTGCTTCAGCAGAGAACTGATAGAGCTGGTGTGCACAAACAGCATTTACAGGAACTTGCACGACACTTGCCTCCCTAAACCAAGCAAATATGGCAAAGAGTGTGAGGGTGGGAACTGGGGGAGAAGGAGTGAGGAGGAGTGCAGGGTTTCCAAACGAGTGGTGAAGTGGGCATTCGCCTCCCGTGGCCCTGCTCGCTGGGAGGGGTATTCATTCATCCAGAAAACAAATTGCTCTCCTATAAAAGAATGACTGCTTTTGGAACAAGCCAGATGTTACCTTTCATGTGCTAATAGGATTATTCATTAAGAATCTGATTTTTTCCCTGGGAGCGCCACAACAACGCCAAGCAGTTGAGGTGAATCGCGTGTGTCTGCTGTTGAAGTGGGGAAGGTGCGTGTGTGTGAGTCACTCCATACTTCTGTTGCATACAGAAGGGGGACTCTTTGCACACAATCCCACCTGGTTGTAGTTGTCAGAGCGTGCCGGTGTATGTGTGTGTAAAGCATGTGTTCCCCACTGATTTGCCGTAGGGGCCCAGTCAGCTGGGGCTCCGACAGGCCCAGAGGCAGAGGAACAGGAGATGGGAGTTTTCAGTGGTAAAAGGAAAAAATAGAGTCTGGGTACCTATACATATATATATATATCTGTTCTTTCATTACTTCTAGCACCACCTGAAACTAACAGTTCTTTTGATTTAAAAATTAGCTGTTTATTCAATTAACAGTTTTGTCTATAACATAGTGAAAATGGCCCAGGGCAACATCTCAAAACAGCCTGTTTTTTTCAGTCTAAATCCTCAAGATATTCAATTTCCAATTACACAAAAAAGAAAGAAGCAGCAAAGTCTTATTTTTGAGAGGCTTAAAAAAGGAATTTTTTTCCATTTTTACTTGATAAATCTCAAACAAGTTTCTGTGGATTGACTAATCATTTCAGCACTAATTACTGACCTCAACAGGTGGAGGTCAGAGCTTCATGTGCATTTGAACCATTTAAGGTGCCCTACAGTTTCCTTAACTAACAAAAGTTGTTAACATTACAGTGTTCCGACAGCTTAAGACAGGTTAGTTTTAAGACATTTAATGGCATGTTTTAATGTAATATTGCCATTTTTTTTTTTCGATTTTACAAAGAAAAATCAGTAAAAATGATTCATAATGTCCCACATCTCATGTCTTAGCATTTTAAAGATTGAAAGAAAGTTTGAAAGATTAATTTAGGAAATTTTAATACCAAATAAGGCTGTTTGTTAGATTAATCAATTCAATGCCTCTGAGGACTTTTCCATGGGAATCCTGCACTCAGTATTTCTTCCTAAAGCACATTCGGTCTATCCTTGAGGTTTAACAAACATGTTGAGTGCATGTCCTTCTGCATAAAACATTTACAAACCTTTTTTTTTTAAGTATTTTAAATTCAACATTATTAATATCAATGTGTACTAGCTTGCAATCTTCTTCTCTGATTTTGCTGGCAGATTGAAAATATTTTAAAGTTCCCCCGGCCACCTGTTGACAAGTGAAATGGTTTGACACCAGTGCTTGTGCACCCTCAGGGGCCCAATCATATCAAACAGCACTGCGGCACCACTAGAGGTCTAATACTCTGCAACCAAACTTTATCTCTGTTGTGTTAAAAAAATTAGCATGAACGCAGATGTGAGATGTAATGCTGGTGGGATCTTTGTTTAACTGAAGTGAGAACAACTTAAAAGTAATCGTATGTGTCCTGTGAACAGTCACTTAAACTGTCACTCACATCAAATTCCTCTTATCTAAGAGCCTGACGTACTTTTGAGTACTAATTGGACCTTGACTACAGAAGACGGTCTTTACAAAACAGCTGAAAATAGAAAATCTCAAAATTACAGCCTTTTGTTGATTGTAAAGTGGCTTCATGCAGCCTCTCCCTCCTCTATACAGCTTTCATGAGATTCAGTTGAGCTGACAAAATGATATATCTTATCGACAAGACAGGATGGCTTTTGCCGACTCTCTCCCCCGCGTTCTCAGGGTCCCTATTCTTGTTCATGGATCCTTCTCCATGGCTTCATCTTGCCTCATCTCGTCATTATCTCCGTCTATTTTTCTCACATTCAATTCTGCTCGAGTCAAGCAGAGCAAAAACTCTACATCTACATCCATGCACCTGTTTATTCTAGTCTTTTTCTCTTCTTTCCCATCCGTGTGTGTGGTAGTGTGTGTGCGTCTTTTTTTTTTTCTTTGCTAGGGATGACTAGGAGGAATCTGAGAGCAGCAGGGAGTTCTCAAGTTTCCCATCAGCTTTGAAACCTCAGCTTGTCTAGAAGGCAAAGACAGAAAGATGTGGAGAGGGAAGGCAACAAAGAGGGAGAGAACGAGAGGAGGAGGACAAGAAAATGAGTAAAAGAAAGAGGAGAGATACAATGTTCTGGAGAAAGAGAGAGGAAAGGAGAGAGTGATCTGATGCATTCTGATTAGAGCAGGCAGCCTCTGCAGCAGTACGTCCTTTCTTGAGGATCTGATCTCCATCTAGCCTGCATGTTCACTGACGTATGGATTACAGGCTTCCTGTGAATTCATCAAGCTCCCAAGAACCCACCTGGGTGCAGGCGTAGCACACAAAGCCAACTAACTACAGCATGTAAGGAAATAACAAAGAAAAGTACAATTCAGTGGGGACATAGTGAGTAAAAAATAATAAGGCTACAACGTCCACAGGCTACAGTCCAAGGATAAGAAGTCCTCCATGATAACAGCAGCAGCCTGACATGCAGTATACTGAGTTCTTTCATGGTGGTAATTTCTAGCATCATGCACAGTAGGGATGGATACTAATGACGTGTGCAGCACACACTCTGAGGCATTGGGGGCTCAATGAGAGGCCGTTAGCCTGTATTAAGTCTTGTACTGTAACTGCAGCATCTCTCTCACACGTTTTATTTTGTGTGAGCTTCAAGTGCACATCTGGAAGCAAAATAATATGAATGTAAAATGTGACAATATATCTAATGCACACATGGCTTTTCGATAAATGCTGTGCATATGGTAGAGACATAACATATACAGAAAGGATATCCTGAGTGCTGTGGATTAACAGCAAATCTGGATTCATCCTTTCACAGTATCAGACTTCTGACATTAAAATGAACACTTTATATAGAAATTCATAACTACTATGACACCATATTAATGGTTACACTGACATTTTTCAATCTTAACCCTGTTTGTCCCATGTTTTCGTATTTAAATGACAATTTTTGAGGCTCTTCCAGCATTGATCGAGAGACCTGCAATGTAAACACTCGAGGAAATTATGCATCGTCCATTTACGTCCACTGAAAATGTTTTTTTTTGTTGCCACTGACAGGCTCAGAT